TGTAACAGTGCCACTTCTCCGAAAACCCATTGACACCACCAAGAAAGAAACAAAGAAGATAAATGGACTAAACGTCGAAGTTGTAAGTGCTTGAATTTAAAATGTCAATGTTAGATCGTGCCTCTATTTCGGCAGGTTTTTTCGGGGAGCAAACTCACGGTTTGCGAAAAACAAGGTTGATAAAACCACTGGCATGGAAGAAAGTAAATTGCACCATTGGCTCGTGTGCTTTCATTTACGTGTATTAGATTTTGAGTTTTACTTATTTCAATATAATGCTGTAATGACTGCTTTTAAACAGTTCTACGATAACAGGATGATATTGAAACCTTTAGCCTCACATAATTTAGCGGTAAAAATTGCTTGTTAGGGAGGTAGACGACGACCGCGACCGAATTATAAACCTAGGCTTTCTGCGCAGAAGGCCCAAGTAATGACCGCACTGTGTGAAAAAGTTTACGTACATATAATGCAATTTACTTTTTTTTTTTCACTTTTCTACAGAGCCACAGTATTCCGATATTTTGGGTCGTCAGTCTTGATGTGGATTTTATTCTTAAGCCATCTTTTAGCATCTCAGTGGACCCAGGCTCACTCTCACCATCCCGGTTAAGCGTAACGGTGAGTAGATATAACTGAATTGATGGTTAACATGTAATGTAAACAATGATTAACATATCTGGGTGTATTGTGTGTTTAATCATCGAATAAGGATTTTTTTCTTTTACTCTAATATGCAACGATGTTGTTGTTTCAGCATTAACTTTGTCGTAAGAGTATTTACACGTATTTGCCGTTCAAACTGGAACACCATGATGTATGACGCAGAGTCACATAGGCAATGGTTCTTTTAACCTCATTTGGCAAGAAAAAAATAGGTGGAATGGTAAAAGAGTCTAGTTCTTGTTGTAAGGATTAGCTTCCGAGGATAAGTTACGGCTTTTTGTCACCATTATGGAGAAGTACATCCTGATTTTCGTGTACGTTTGGGCTGAGAGCAGAAGTGTTGATATTCTTAACTTCTCCACATCTTATTTCAATAAATACATCTTAGGCGAAGGTTTCAAAATAATACGTGCGGATATAAGTGCCATTGGGGTGAAGAGTAATACGAGTGATGAGCAAAATATCCGTTCATATCATATGCTAACCCAAAGAACAAGGAATTCGTTATTCCATTGTTATTTCATTGTCTAGTATTTTGGGTTTTGATTTCTTAAATGCATCAGCACTATTTCGATTCAATAAGGCGTATAAGAAAGACGGAAACAACACAAACGAAAGCGCTCTTCATGACCAATAAAAAAATCTACGCACTTTAAAGATCAATTCTCAAAAGGTCAAGCCTCAAAAAAAAGAAAAAAACCAAAAAAATCTGAGTGTGAATCGTTCATTGCGGCCATGTTTTTTGCTTCGCTTTCCATCCTATTTTTTGACATGTTCTACAGTATAATAATGTGGCATAATTTTCGGGTTCCGTTGTCCTTATAATGGGTAAAATGGCTCACTTGATGAATAATAAATCGCTCTCTCTTTCAGCAATAGCTTCGATGATGTAAGAGACGGATAAAGACTGATGGATTTCATGAAATCATACAAATATATAAATGAATTAATAAAATAAAAGCTCTTACATGTCATTTCAGGTAACGCCCTATGCATCATTAACGGCCACTTTGCAAGGATCTGTATCCGTATGGCTTATAAGGGCTGGGGTATACGGCGACGGACACTTGATAAGAGGAAGTCTTCCAATCAGCGTGTCGTATGATAAAAATCGCCCTTCCTACAGGGATGTCTGCGTGGATGTTTCAGCTGACTTACGGATCCTTGAACTGGAAGCCGGTGTCTTCTACCAATGGAAGTCATGTTGGTGGGACTGGTGGAGGCTTAGATGCAAGTGGGGTACTCGACGCACCTTGCACAGTTTTGGCCGATGGTCTGCCTTCAGTTTGAGGCAAAATATGATTAATGAATGTTTCTGATAACACTTTCCGAGGCGGTCCGATTGTTGTTAACTGTTTAGTTTTTAAAGAACATTTTAACTGAGTGTCGAAAATAATCCGAGAATGCATTGGTTTTGCCTTAATGTGCTCTATGATTGGTCTAAAAAACTCCGCCACTCTCTCACTGGCGATCTGATGCATAACTTACACCTATCACGATCCGCGGTCACCCACGTTTTCCCGCGCTGTGGGCGAGTTGTTTGTTTTTACTTTGATTTCATTGGCTCTTCAGGTGTTTTTTATTTGTTCTGATTGGCTTTTGTAATTATTACGTTGTTCTGGCTTTACGACACTTAATCTAAAAGTGCTTTAAATAAGATTTAGTATTTTCCAGTGTGTTTTTAGAGGTTTGGTTTTTTTTCGGATTTGATTAATCTTAAAGTCGAAGTACCTTAGATTAGAGAGAGCGTGTGTGGATTCTATTTATGGTTTCCAGTCCAACATTGTGGTTGTAAGGTCATTATTTCCTAGATCATTTCTACGCGATTTCACCCATCTGCATTAACAGTGTCAGCGATCGGCAAATCCAAACATATCAGCAATTAAGGTATCAAGGTCGTCAATGATTGTACAAAGCTCTGGTACCATTCTGTTATCAAAGGGCAGGAACGGCGAAGATGAAGCTTATGACGTCACAAGTCACTTGCATCAACCAATGCTTGTCGACCGGTGATTGATGGCTCTTCATCAGATTAGTTGGATTAATCCTTTACACCCTAACATCAGAATTCAATATTTTCCATACTCTTTCCTATAGATTCACTAAGATGCTGACAAGGAGAATTTTTTTTACATTTAAGAGATTCTTTAGTTGGTGATCATTTCCTTTATCCTTTTGACCTTAATAAGTGATCCAGGAGTGACGTTGAAAGAAGAAACTAGCCGCTGGTCACTTTTAGACTTTAAGGAGTTAAAAAGTAGATCCCATGTAGTTTCGTAACTATTCGTCTCAGCATTGAGATGATTTATGTACCCAGTACTTCTCCAAATTGATTAAAAAGCTAAGCAAGTTAGATAAATCATTTAATTTGGGCAAAAAAGAAAAAAATCTTACTGTTTGACAGCTTAAAATCTTTCATCGTCATTTTGTGCGTTATGACGGAGTAAGAAACCGACACGATGAACGACAAAACGAATTGCCCGTCTAAAGAATGTAATGCTCCTTCTCGTTTTGTTAGGATAGCTGTAAAAGTTCTAATCATACCATGGATAACTAGTCTGTATAGTAATGGACCGTCTATATAACCAGAGTGTTTCGTGTGCAAGAACAATAAACTACTGTTAAACGCAAGCCTTGAATTGATAACTTAACGTTGCTCGATGTTGTAGCAAAAAATTAATGTCACAGTGGGAACCTTACACATTGTGTAATTTGCTCGAGATCTTCTTGATCATCTCCATCATGGCACAATTAGGGGTGACGGGGAGCGGGTTAAATTGAGTGCCTAAAGATTTTCGTTTTGGATAAATTTGTCGTAAATAATATGGCCTAAATTACAAAAAAGCATTCAAAACTTGGATAACTACCTCCCTCTTGCTTGACAAGGCTGAATTCGATTTAATTCTGCAGCTGGGATCCAGTTCAACGGTGAAACTTCTCCGAAACTCCATTGACACCACTAAGAAAGCAACAAAGAAGAAAAAAGGATTGGGCACTATAGTTGTAAGTGCTTAGAAAAAGAATGCTGAGGTTGAATCGGTCCTCCACTTCGACGAAATTTTTTTAATAAGGGAGCTAATCTGCGGTTTGTGGAAAAACAGGGTTAATATTAACGTAAATATTGTGGGAGGTAAATGATAACTGCAAGATGACCCTGACAGACTCATGCCCAGTGCATGAAAAATAAAATTGCCAACGATGACAGCATACATGCATCCATCTTCTGATAGGTCAAAGGTTGAATCCTATTAAAATCAATTTAAATCCATATTTGAATTCAACATTTACTTAACCTTGTAATTTATAAGGAGAGGGGTGGGGATGGGTTAGTCAATATTTGTATATATTTCGCCTTTCTGCACCCCTCCTGCCGCCGCTGCCTCTATCTCCAAATCAAACAGGGCCGGTTGAATAAACGATTACGTTAACTCTCCCTAATAAGACGCCTGCACTATGCAGGCTACGTGACTTCAGGCATTTTGGCAGAATGTGGGAACATTTTGTGAGTTCTTCCAGCAATCCGCACGCGTCCTCAGCTACTTTCAGTAGGTTATAGGTGACAGTAAACTCCACACTTTGCTGAAGCCAAAAGAAAATCTTGAACACCTAGTCACGTTGACTGAATCTGGCATCAAGACTAAATTTCAGTTGCAACACTTTGATCAAGTATATTTGTTTTGAATCCGTGCTCGCTGATCTACATGCCGCCAATTTACCTCCCCAAAGTTGCCATGTGGGACTCCCTATATCTGTATCCATATCTGCTCTCGTTTGACAAAAAACTAGTTTGGTTCTGTTTAATAAGGTTCTCTTCGGGCAAGCAGCAGCAATGAAAGGAACGATTACTGTTTTAAAAAGGTTTCCCTACAGTGATAAGAAATCGTAAATTAGACAAAAACAGGAGCCCATAAGAGATGAGCTCCTGACAACAATGGTCGAATAATAAACAGAAAGATTAACAGCATCGTCAAAAACACAAAATGACGGTTGGCAACTGATTTAACGGTAAATCAACATCATCCCATGAACTTTTTTATAGCGGTTTGCATCATGATAAATAACAGTTGTATCGAAAGAAAAGAGATTGAAGATCAGTTCCATGATTTTTTTGACCCCGAAAAGTTCGTTTACTAACCTAAACTTCAATGCAAAGTTAAAAAACAAACCTTAATTAAAACTTGTCATTTCAACTGTCTACTAAACCCTAAAAATATCGCGCTGTCAGTCACGGCGAAAAAACAAAAGATTGAGCCATCGCGAATGAACAAAAATACTTCAAAAAGGGTCACTCATTATACTGAACCTTCAGAAAGGACGGAGCTTCATCCTCGATCATGGATGGTTTTCCAGAGAAAAAGGAACACCACAAGGAAAAGGGAACTCAAGTGAACGATTATGTTGAAGATGATTCTGAAGGAGGGAAGCCTGCTTCAAGAAAACGAACCAATTTGCGGACCATCGCCATCTTTGCGGTTATGTCACTCGTGGTTTGTGGAGCCATACTCACAGCAACGTTGTCGACTCGGAAAGAGCAAGTTACTAAGCGCCTAGTGGAAGTCAACTTGGAACCAGGTGAAACTCTGTTGTATCAAGTTGAGCAAGTCCTTGAAGTACGAAGTGGAGAGCTTCAGAAAGGTATTTGCTCTCGCTACTAATTAAACATTAGTTGCATTCATATGTTGCCACGCTTCATCGCTAGGTGAGCGAGACGATTTACTGCTTTAAAATTACCTTTTGGTGTTGAAGGCCACTTTTTCGAGTAAAAATGATCTATTTAAGATTAAATTAAGCCAGAATGCATTTTAAAAAAAATGACTATGAAAGCGATCCTGGCAGTAACAAACACTAAATAAACAGCAGTGAAAGTAGGGCCTGAAAATAATAGATGATTTTCATATATTCAGAGTCAGAGAATGCATTTTGTTGCGCGGTTCCAGACAAATTTGACAATTTACAAGATAGGATCAGTGGAAAGTTTTTAGTTAAGAAACATTACAGGTAGGCGATTGAAATGGAGATCATTGAAAAAATGTCAAAGCTGCACGAAAATGAAAAAACCGAGTCGTAAATAAATCAAATCTTAGGGAAAGAATGGAATTGGACATTGCATATGCAAAACATAGCAGGCCGTGCAAAAACAGAACGCGATCGCCCGCTCAGGTGTCCCGTTACAATCTCTGTATTTTGCATGGTTTGTTTCATCTTTAAAGAGGCGAATTTGTTATTGCGCGGTTAATCTCGACATTAGAATTTGCCTGATATATTCTCAGTGATAAGCATATGAATGGTTCAGTGAATTATATCAGTGTTTACGCGCTTACATCAACCAAATGTTTGGCCTTATGATTTTTTAAAATTCAATTAATCGTTAGAACGTTACACCCAGTATATCTTTAACAATTAGCCTGGATCTGAATCCATAGCGACATTTTGCTGCTCATCTTCAAATTGTAGGGGGATTATGGTCGTGTGACGTTAACTTTTACCTGAGCCCTTCCCCCCGACAGGCTCTCAACTGTTCTTATGATTCTCTCCCCCGTTGGTAGTCAATTTTCAACCCCCCCCCCCCCATTTTTATTCCGTTGACGACTTATTCCCGCTTATTTTTATGGTCACTGAACCCTTCGATATATTTCAAAAAAGTGTTGGCAAAGACACTCACTATCAAAATGTTAACACTGACGGTTTTGAATCCGCCTTTTTTCATACGGTTTTCTACCTTGCAAGATCGAAGGCCTTCAAAGTATAATAATATTTTGTGTTATGATATTGAAGTTGTATATTCACTAAACTTGATTATTATTTTATTTCCTTCTATATGCCAACCAAAATTAAACTTAACGAAGATTGTTTCCTGGCCAATTTTTTTTCATGATAGCAGAGTTTATCATTTTTTAGGAACACTAAATACCATCGTTGCACTTCAAGTAATAAACAAGACTTCAGAAGAGTATTGGTTCATTTTTAAGATCATCAGCATTAATGCTGAAGGAGAAAACTTGGAAAAAATCGGTAACGTGACCCGAGGAAGATCGTTATATTTTCTGGTTAGGGTCGAGCGAACTTCAAGGTAAGTAAAACCATAGTCCTGAAACTTGACATTGACTTGGCAGAATTTATCTTGTCCGTCACGTCGGGATTACCATAGAGTAATTAGGCATAATAAGCCCGCCTGATAGTGTTTTTTTCATAAATTTTACAGTCGACTTTCACTTTTGTTTAACTTCGTTTCTCTTTGTCATATGCAACTGTTATTACGCTAAAACGCTTGACTTGCTCGGGGCAAGTAAGCTAGGTGACCCTGGAGAGCATGAAATAAAAAGAAGACAATCATATTGAGAGCAACGTGATTTGTCATCAGATGAAGAAGTTATATTCAGAAAAACATTCACCATTATTGTTTTAGAGAGGAATTGACTTCACATTCTGACGGACGGCGGGTCGTATTGCAATGTTAAATGCTTTGTCTAAATAATATTTTTTTTCTGATTCCCTAATTTTTAAGCCTTTTCTACATCTTAAACCACATCCCCTTAGATTCGGATATTAGTAATTAATTTTCAGGTAGAGATCTCAGGTAAGTTTCAGCTCAATAAGAGAACAGTGGACGAGATTTTCTCAAGAACTCCTTCCAATGCTGCAATCTTTGTTTCTAATTTCTATCAACTGTTGGCTTTTGAGTCCTCTGGAGTTAGCAGGATAAGTAGCTATACTCTTTTAAAACATGAACTTCCCAATTCCCCATCCCTCCGTTTACTTTTTTTGCTGGCCATATTTATATTCCATAATTTTAACTCGTCTGAAAATTGATTAGATCCCTGAAATGTCACTTGTTGTATCATGCCAGTTGCTTATTGGGATGTTTTCCTAAGGTCTGACTGTTTTTTCAACAGGTCTGAGGTAAAGAAAACGTCAAAATCCACCAAAGAAGATGAGTCCCTTGAATTATACGGAAACCCAGAGTCCGACGAGGGGTTAACACGCTATGCCCGAGCCATACTTACCCAGCTTCTCCCAACCGTTGAGCGCAACCTTTACGAATTTGTAGACGGACAGAAACCAGACCCAAATTCCGAGCCAAAACCTGAAAAATCTTCCATGTTTCCCGGAATTGTGAAGATGCATAGAGCAGCAAACACATCGCAAAATGACAAACTTTTTATTAAAAACAAATTCAATCGGTCGGATGTCACTAATATGACATCTGACATCGACTTGGACTTGTCATATGCTGATTCATCCGTTCTTAATAAGAGCAATGGCGTGTTAACTAAAGGTGAGGTCCATTTAACTGAACAACTAAATTTCGGAGAGCCAGTTCAGTTTAAGAAAGGATCCACAGCCAACATGATGAACGTTTCTTTTACGAGTAAGGTTACTCTTCTTGATAATGAGAAGTATCGGAAAAGCTATCTTGAAGACGAGGAACTAGCAGAGGTTGATGTTCGTGATTTCGTCAAACTCGTTGCACCAAAATCTGACCAAAATTTCAGGGTGAAAACCTCTGAGAGAGAGGCTCTGAATGAGCCTTCGGTTGATTCAAAGGAAATGAACAGCACGTCCGCTGACGATGAGCGAGAGACAAACTTGACAACAGCAGCGCACGACTCAAGACACCGGCGAAGTCGCAGACAAAACTTTGTTCAAAAATTCCTTAATGCTCCTCGAAAGATTCCGTTCACACTCTTTGAGAAAAAAATTATAGGCATAGATATGAAAGTGAAAACCACTGTTCGAATTGAATCAATTAAAAAGCTAGTCAACCTGAAGCTTGAAAAGACCGAGGTGTATTTAACTCTGCAGTTTGGAGCCAGTGTAACAGTGCCACTTCTCCGAAAACCCATTGACACCACCAAGAAAGAAACAAAGAAGATAAATGGACTAAACGTCGAAGTTGTAAGTGCTTGAATTTAAAATGTCGATGTTAGATCGGGCCTCTATTTCGGCAGGTTTTTTTGGGGAGCAAACTCACGGTTTGCGAAAAACAAGGTTGATAAAACCACTGGCATGGAAGAAAGTATAAATTGCACCATTGGCTCGTGTGCCTTCATTTACGTGTATTAGATTTTGAGTTTTACTTATTTCAATATAATGCTGTAATGACTGCTTTTAAATAGTTCTACGATAACAGGATGATATTGAAACCTTTAGCCTCACATAATTTAGCGGTAAAAATTGCTTGTTAGGGAGGTAGACGACGACCGCGACCGAATTATAAACTTAGGCTTTCTGCGCAGGAGGCCCAAGTAATGACCGCACTGTTTGAAAAAGTTTACGTACATGTAATGCAATTTACTCGTTTTTTTCACTTTTCTACAGACCTACAGTATTCCGATATTTTGGGTCGTCAGTCTTGATGTGGATTTTATTATTAAGACACCTTTTAGTATCTCAGTGGACCCAGGCTCACTCTCACCATCCCGGTTAAGCGTAACGGTGAGTAGATATAACTGAATTGATGGTTAACATGTAATGTAAACAATGATTAACATATCTGGGTGTATTGTGTATTGTAATAAGGAATTTTTCTGTTACTCTAATATGCAACTATGTTGTTGTTTTAGTATTAACTTTGTCGTAAGAGTATTTACATATATTTGCCGTTCAAACTGGAACACCATGATGTATGACGCAGAGTCAAATAGGCAATGGTTCTTTTAACCTCATTTGGCAAGAAAAAAAATATGTGGAATGGTAAAAGAGTCTAGTAAGGATTAGCTTCCGAGGATAAGTTACAGCTTTTGGTCACCATTATGGAGAAGTACATCCTGATTTTCGTGCATGTTTGGGCTGAGAGCAGAAGTGTTGATATTCTTAACTTCTCCACATCTTATTTCAATAAATGCATCGTAGGCGAAGGTTTCAAAATAATACGTGCGGATATTTTGCGAATTGTACGGCGAACTTCCGAGTGCCGCTGGGATGAAGAGTAATACGATCAATGAGCAAAATATCCGTTCATATTAGCTAGCCCATAGAACAAGGAATTCATTATTCCATTATTATTTCATTGTCTAGTATTTTGGGTTTTGATTTCTTAAATGCATCAGCACTATATCGATTCAATAAGGCGTATAAGAAAGACGAAACAACACAAACGAAAGCGCTCTTCATGACCAATAAAAAAATCTACGCACTTTAAAGATCAATGCTCAAAAAGTCAAGCCTCAGAAAAAGAAAAAAACCAAAAAAATCTGAGTGTGAATCGTTCATTGCGGCCATGTTTTTTGCTTCGCTTTCCATCCTATTTTTGACATGCTCTACAGCATAATAATGTGGCATAATTTTCGGGTTCCGTTGTCCTTATAACGGGTAAAATGGCTCACTTGATGAATAATAAATCGCTCTCTCTTTCAGCAATAGCTTCGATGATGTAAGAGACGGGTAAAGACTGATGGATTTCATGAAATCATACAAATATGTAAATGAATTAATAAAATATAAGCTCTTACATGTCATTTCAGGTAACACCCTATGCATCATTAACAGCCACTTTGCAAGGATCTGTATCCGTATGGCTTATAAGGGCTGGGGTATACGGCGACGGACACTTGATAAGCGGAAGTCTTCCAATCAGCGTGTCGTATGATGAAAATCGCCCTTCCTACAGGGATATCTGCGTAGATGTTTCAGCTGACTTACGGATCCTTGAACTGGAAGCCGGTGTCTTCTACCAATGGAAGTCATGTTGGTGGGACTGGTGGAGGCTTAGATGCAAGTGGGGTACTCGACGCACCTTGCACAGTTTTGGCCGATGGTCTGCCTTCAGTTTGAGGCAAAATATGATTACTGAATGTTTCTGATAACACTTTCCAAGGCGGTCCGAGCGTTGTGAACTGTTTAGTTTTTAAAGAACTTTTTAATTGAGTGTCGAAAATAATCCGAGAATGCATTAGTTTTGCCTTACTTTGCTCTATGAATGGTCTAAAAAACTCCGCCACTCCTAACTGGCGATCTGATGCATAACTTACATCTATCACGACTCGCGGTCACCCACGTTTTCGCGCGCTTTTAGGCGGGTTGCTTGTTTTTACTTTGAGTTTTGTTAGCTCTTCAGGGTGTTTTTATTTGTTCTGATTGGCTTGTGTAATTATTGAGTTGTTCTGGCTTTACGACACTTAATCTAAAAGTGCTTTAAATAAGATTTAGTATTTTCCAGTGTGTTTTTAGTATTTTCCAGTGTGTTTTTAGAGGTTTGGTTTTTTTTCGGATTTGATTAATCTTAAAGTCGAAGTACCTTAGATTAGAGAGAGCATGTGTGAATTCTATTTATGGTTTCCAGTCCAACATTGTGGTCGTATGATCATTATTTCCTAGATCATTTCTACGCGAGATCGAAGCGATTTTTTTTTCACCCATTCTGCATTAACAGTGTCAGCGATCGGCAAATCCAAACATATCAGCAATTAAGGTATCTAGGTTGTCAATGATTGTACAAAGCTCTGGTACCATTCTGTTGTTAAAGGGCAGGAACGGAGAAGATGAAGCTTATGACGTCACAAGTCACTTGCATCAACCAATGCTTGTCGACCGGTGATTGATGGCTCATCATCAGATAAGTTAGATTAATCCTTTACACCCTAACATCAGTATGCATATTCTCCATACTGTTCTCTATAGATTCACTAAGGTGCTGACAAGGATAATTTTTTTTTACATTTAATAGATTCTTTATTTGGTGATCATTTCCTTTATCCTTTTGACCTTAATGAGTGATCCAGGAGTGACGTTGAAAGAAGAAATTAGCGGCTGGTCACTCTTAGAGTTTAAAGGGATTAAAGAATATCCCATGTAGTTTCGTAACTATTCGTCTCAGCATTGAGATGATTTATGTACTCAGTGCTTCTCCAAATTGATTAAAAAGCTAAGCAAGTTAGATAAATCATTTAATTTGGGCAAAAAAGAAAAAAATCTTACTGTTTTGACAGCTTAAAATCTTTCATCGTCATTTTGTGCCTTATGACGGAGTCGGAAACCGACACGATGAACGGCAAAACGAATTGCCCGTCTAAAAAATGTAATGCTCCTTCTCGTTTTGTTAGGATAGCTGTAAAAGTTCCAATCATACCATGGATAACTAGTCTGTATAGTAATGGACGGTCTATATAACCAGAGTGTTTCGTGTGCAAGAACAATAAACTACTGTTAAAACCCAAGCCTTGAATTGATAACTTAACGTTGCTCGATGTTGTAGCCAAAAATTAATGTCACAGTGGGAACCTTACACATTGTGCATTTTGTTCGAGATCTTCTTGATCATCTCCATCATGGCACAATCAGGGGTGGCGGGGAGCGGGTTAAATTGAGTGCCTAAAGATTTTCGTTGTGAATAAATTTGTCGTAAATAATATGGCCTAAATTACAAAAACATTCAAAACTTGGATAACTACCTCCCTCTTGTAAACTGGGGGGTTAAATTACACATGGCCTTAGTGCGATTTCTCTTTGCGTTCCCGAATCAAATTATATGCTTCTTCCTATCTTGAAGGAAAACATGGACTCCTGATTGCATGCATTTGTCTCATCAAAATGTTTTTCGTTGGCTAAACTAAACTGAATTGAAATTGTAAATCAAATGAACCCCAAATAAAACGATGAAGCTGATCTTGAAAAGCTTGATTCGTTTCAGAGCAATAAACATGGCAATAAATTCAATTTCCTTTTTGGCAGTCACCGCAAAAGTAAGCTGCAAGGCAAGTGAAATAAAGATGAAAAAGAGGCGTTTTTTTCAAGACCTTGTGTGATTCCCACCTGTCTAGTGTGCAAAGACTTGTCATTTGCTAATTCTTCTGTTATCAATGAGGGCAATGGATTAGTCACAAGGGGCCTTGTCCATTTGACTGAACAATGGAATTTCGGAGAGCCAATTCAATTCAATAATTTTACTGTAGCTTACAAGATGAGCGTTACATATACAAAGAATTATCAACGTCAACTGCACTGGTTTCGTTAAACTCATCGCCCAAAATATGACCAATAATTCCGGATAAAAAATTCCGAGGAAGAGGCTGAAAAGCGAACCTTCCGCTGATTCTTACGCATTGAGCACCACCTCCGCCAGCAATGGTGAGCGAGAGACAAACTTGACAACAGCATCGCACGATTCGGGCACTGAAGTCGCAGACAGAGCTCTTTTCCAAAATTCCTCAGCACTCCTTGACAGATAACGCTAACACTTACGGAACAAAGGTTATTGGCATTTATATCGAATCAATGAAATAGTTCTACAAAGTGGAGCTTGATAAGATAGAGTTCGATTTAACTCTGCATTTGGGATCCAGTTCAAGATTGAAACTTTTCCGAAACTCCATTTGCACCACTATGAAGGAAACAAAGAAGAAAAAAGGATTGGGCACTACAGTTGTAAGTGCTTGGAAAAAGAATACTGAGGTTGAATCGGGCCTCCATTTCGACGAAATTTTTTTATGAGGTAGCTAATCTACGGTTTTTGGAAAAATAGGGTTAATATTAACGCAAGCATTATGGTAAGTAAATGATAACTGTAAGATGACCCTGACAGACTCATGCCCAGTGCATGAAAAAAAAAATTGCCAACGACGACGGCATATATGCGTCCATCCCCTGATAGGTCAAATATTGAATCCTATTAAAATAAATTTGAATCCGTCTATACAAATATATATACTTTATACATACTGCTTCAATCATTCAAGAAGATACATTATTTTCTAAAAAACAAATAAAATAACAGTGCGGACACAATGGAATGGTCAGATTATTTCTTGTTTTGGCAGCAAGAAACTAAAGCTTGGATCCATAACTTAAGTGAGATGTAGTACATTGTTAACACCCATGCAATGCCATGGTCAGAGCAGATACATACTTTCATGTAACAATGACAAAGATGGAAATGATCACCCAGATATGCAGATGGAGTGTTCAGTGACTTAACCTTAACTTCATGATCATGATCTTCCACGATAAAAGTTTTTGTTCAGTGTCCATCTCCTGTTTGAGTTTTGTTTATCCTCCTCCTGAATTTCATCTTGCTCAGGTGTATACAAAGGTCTTACTTGAACTTTAGGTCTTGGATTTCCTTCCACAAATTGTTGTTGTCTGTTTTCTTTAGTACAAAGGGAATTTTTCCTGCATGAACTATGCGACTGTTGAAAAGTTGCCATGTGGGGCCGTGCAAAAAGAGAACGCGACCACCCCCTGCGGTTCCCCCTAAATAGTGTTTAATGTTTTAATTATAGCTCAAAAAGGGTCATGCATTACACTAAAACTTCAGAAAGGACGAAGCTTCAACCTCGATCATGGATGGTTTTCCAGAGAAAAATGAATACCACAAGGGCAAGGTAACTCAAGTGAACGATTATGGTAAAGATGATTCTGAAGAAGGGAAACTGCTTCAAGAAAACGAACCATTATTTAAAAAGTGTCAAAGCTGCACAAAAATGAATCAAACCGAGTCGTAAGTAAATTAAATCCTCGGGAAAGAGTAAAATTCGACACTGCACAAGCAAATATCTATGGTGGTCCATAGGTTTTCCACGGAGGACACGCTATCCACTTTTAAAGTTCAATTTTATCGCGCTATGAAATCAAAATATCGCGCGATGAATGAAAAATTATCGCGCGATATATGGAAATTATCGCGCAGTAAATGAAAAATTATCGCGCCATAAATGATAAATGGGAAACTTGTTAGGTCGCACGTGATCGGCTGTCAAGCACTTTGTGTCCGTGGACGAGGCGACAATGGCCACAACAGTTGGAAAGTTTTCCTTAACGGGGTTGGCGATACAGAAGTGACGTCGAGAAATTTACAAACCTGCAATGTAATCAGAAGGGTTAGATAATCTACACTTGTTCTAGGAAGTTGACAGCCATCTCCGAAAGTGTTTCGTAAGATTTTGCAAAATCAAGGTTTACTGTACTGATTCACAGAGCTATGTGTCGAAGTAGTATTGCAAAGTACTGCTCAATGATCTTTTCACGAAAATAAAACGAACCATTGACCTCAGAACATACCTCCTCAACTGTTGCAGCCATTGTCATCTCGTCCACAGAAACAACGTGCGGACAGCCGATCACGTGCGACCTAACAAGTTTCCCATTTATCGCGCAATATTTTTCATTAATCCCGCGATATTTTGATTTCATCGCGCGATAAATCTTATTTACCGCGCGACAAAATTTAATTAAAAAGAGGCTAGCGTGTCCTCTACGGGCCACCATACCTAGAGGACATGATATCCACTTTTTTAATTCAATTTTATCGTGCGATAAATGAGCGGCAGATTCGTTATTGCGTGGCTAATCACGGCATTAGAATTAGCCTGCTATATTTTCAGTCATTTGCATATGAATGGTTTAAGGAATTATATAGGCGTTTAGGCGCTTACGTCATTCAAAAGTGTGGACTTCGTGATTTTTTAAAAATTAAATTCATCGTTAGAACGCTACAACCAGTATACCTTTAACAATTAGCTTGGTCCTGAATTCATAGCGTCATTATATTTTCTGCTAATCTTCAAATTTCAGGGGGATTTTGCCTGTTTAACGATAACTTTTACCTAAACCCCTTTCCGGCATCCAATTTTTTTTATACTTCAATTAATTCTAGTTTATTTCAAGATTTTATAATACAACATTTAATCATTTTTCAGGGACACTAAGAACCATCGTTGCCCTTCAAGTAATAAACAAGACTTCAGAAGAGTATTGGTTCGTTTTTAAGATCATCAGCATTAATGCTAAAGGAGAAAACTTGGAGAAAATCGTTAACGTGACCCAAGGAAGATCGTTATATTTTCTAGTTATGGCTGAGCGCACTTCAACGTAAGTAATAACATAAAGTCCTGAAAACTTGACCTTGATTCGGCAAAGGTTTATCTTGTACGTCACGTCGGGATTACCAAAGAGTAATTAGGCATGATAAGTCAGTCGGATAATGTTTTTTGTATAAATATCATAGTCGACTTTCATTTTTGTTTAACTCGTTATGCCCGAGCCATGCTTACACAGCTTCTCCCAACTGTTGAGCGGAATCTTTACGAACGTGTAGACGGAGAGAAACCAGATCCAGACTCCGAGCCAAAACCTGAAAAATTTTCCATGTTTCCCGGTATTGTGAAGATGCACAGAGAAGCAAACTTATCAGAAAACGACGAATTTTTTATTAAAAACAAATTTAATCGGTCGGATGTCACCAATATGGCATCTGACATTGACTCGGACTTTTGCTATCGGAATTGGTTTGTACATACGATAAGCTGAATATTTACACACACACACACACACACAAAATTCGTGTCATAGGCACTTCTAAGCAAAATTTATCACAAGTAAGATGACCAAGACTTCACAGAAAAAAAAAAAAAAGTCAGCAAATGGTAACATCTTTAAAAAAAAATATTCATCCACAGGGCTCTTTTAAAACATATGTAACAATATTTTCATAACTCAGATAATCCTGTAATGAAAAAACAACTTTGTTACCACCACAAAAGCAGTTTTATGGTCACATTAATTTTTGATGTACATGTATGTGCACTGCCAAATTCTATCCCCTTTTAAAATATTACAAAAATCTTTAAGCCAATGGAAGAGGTAAAACTAATTTATCAAAGAATGGCACCTATTGCAGTCAACAGCAAAATGTATTGTTGTAGGTCTAAGTATGTTTCTTTAAATAAATCTACCTCAATAGTTAATCAAAGACTTCCTTGAAAAATTGGGTTACACGAAAAAGAGGCACGATTTTACGGATCACCATTAACGGTCACAGATAACCGAACGAAGATATGCCGAACATCGAAGTAAGCAGTTATACATTGGGTTACACGAAAAATAGGCACGAAAAATCAGAGTCGTCACTACATTAAAGGGGATGTGGCCGGATGGGGTCGCATTTTCACGACTGGATGGACTATTATGGAGTTGCATTTTCGGTATTTACAAGAATGGGGTTGCATATCTGGGGTATTTTGAGGGTCAAAACTCGTTATGTCCAAGCCATACTTACCGAGCTTTTGCAAACTTTACGAACGTGTGGACAGAGAGAAACCAGATCAAAATTCTGAGCCAAAACCTAAAGAATCCTCCTTGTTTCCTGGTTCTGTGAGGATGAACAGAGAAGCAAACGCGAGGGAAGCTGGTGTTCCCAAGATCAAAGATCAAAAATCAAGTTAATGGCTCTGACGTCGTCAATATGACATGAGATATTGATCTGGTCATAACAATAATAACAATAACAATAATAATAACAATAATAATAATGATAATAATAATAATAATAATAATAATAATAATAGTCTTAATTAATTCATAGGATAAAAACTACATATCTCATGTTACAAAACTTTCAATTTAGACCTAAGTTACATTGTACGTTCTAATTTCAGAGTCAATTATTAGCTAGGCACTTTGAGCGGCCAACGATGAAAGGAACTTGACAGTTGATAAACGTGTGCATCATGGTCTGTTCTTGAGACCTCGCCATGGTTGCTATGGGTGGAGACTTCAAACCCGAATGTGAAGGCAGGAATTGGTTTTCCTTCGACGTTGCCATCGATAGGCGGTCATCATTTGTTAAGACGCAGACTGCAGACCGTGCAGACTGTCTGATGTCAACCAGCCGAAAAACAAACAAATAACTTGCTAAAACGCAGACCCTGCAGACCGCGCTTTGTCGCTAGAAATTTTCTACTGTTTCGGCTCGCGAGACACTGACAAATTCATTCATGACCTAACACGCAATCAACTTCGATAGGCATCCAATTTCACCAGTATTACGCGGTTTTTCTTCAACTTGAGAAAAAAATTACGTTTTCTCGCTTAAGAAATTTTATGTTATGCCTAGGTGGACGTTAAATGGAAGTCAAAAATCTCTTCTGGGAACTGATTTTTGACTGAATAATAAGCAGTAATAAACAACAAACAAATGCCTTTTTGAATGCCGCTATATTTTTGGTGCGTCATGCGTTGCATGCCTTCTTTACACGTTTCTCCAGAATTGTGTTTCAACTAGTACAACTAAATTCTGAGCCAGATTAAAGCATTTCATTTCGCTTCTACAGTATAGAACGAAACTAAACGCTCCCAATTCGGCTCCAAATAAAAGAAAAAACCTTCGATCACTTTCCGGCGAAACATTCTGCAAATGTAGGAGAGTTTCTGATGTGTGTCAAATGCAAACTTCAATGACTTTAGACAACATTAGTCTAAGAATAGCGTTTTGCCTCGTTTCTTAATTAAATAATACATTTACGAACTAAAGACAAACTAAAGAGGAGTGCACTTAAAATTTGCCGTTTATTTTCCATGTGATGGAAATTTATCGTAGCCGAAATCGACCTTTCAACCGTACCAAATTATTCCGTCAGACCGTCCAAGCTCTAAACAGCGATAAACGCAAACCAACAGTAACACATTTTGTTCTATATTTTCGATTTTTGGTCAAATAAAAAAAAAAATTGATGAAACCTCGAGTCCCGTCTGCTGGTCACTTGGACATTGTCCTATTAATTTTCCTTTCACACACACTGAGCATGTATTGCGATAGAATCGAAGATTAGCTTGCTCCAAATAGCCTTGCAAAATTTCATAGTGTCCAAAGAAGTAATTATAAGTAGAATCACAGTTTAAAAAAAAACAAACAAAATAATTGCACAGTCTGCACGGTCTGCGCGGTCTGCAGTCTGCAATCTTCGTTTTATCATGATCACAATTCAACCCACCTCCCCCTCCCCTTGACTTGTACGATGATAGAGATGTTCAAGAAGATCTGGAACAAAATGCACACTGTGTAAGGTTCCCACTGTGACACTAATTTTTAGTTACAATATCGCAAAACGTTAAGTTATCAATGCAAGGCTTGCGTTTTAACAATAGTTTATTGTTCTTGCACACTAAATACTCTGGTTATAAAGACAGTCCATTACTATAAACACTGGTTGTCCATGGTATGATTGGAACTTTTACAGTTATGCTAACCAATTTCCAAAACGGTGGGATATTTTCTTTTTTTTTTCTGCCTACGTTAAATTATTTATTAAGTTTGCCAAGCTTTTTAATCAATTTGGAGAAGTACTGAGTATATAAATCATCTCAATGTTGCGACGAATAGTTACAAAAGCAACTGAGATCTCTATTAATCCCACTAATCTGATGAAGAGCCCTCAATCACCGGTCGACAAGCACTGGTTGATGCAAGTGACCTGTGACGACATAAGCTTCATATTTTTCATTCCTACCGCTTGGCAACAGAGTGGTACCAGAAGTATGTACAATCATTGACGACCTAGATACCTAAATTGTTGATATGTTTAGATTTGCTGATCACTGACACTGTTACTACATATTCTGCTGCATAATGGGTGAAAAAAAACTGCTGCGATCTCGCGTAGAAATGATCTAAGAAATAATGAACTTACAACTACAATCTTAGACTGGACACCATTAATAGAATCCACACATACCCTTTCTAATCTAAGGTAGCTCGATTTTGAGTTTAATCAAATCCCAAAAAAAAGACACCTCTGAAAAAACACCGGGAGATACTAACTCTTATTAGAGCACCTTTCGATTGAGCGTCGTAAAACCAAAACAACTGAATATTTACAAAAGCCAATCAGAACAAATAAAAACACCCTGAAGAGCCAATGAAACTCAAATTAAAAATCAGCAGCCCGCCTGAAGTGCGGCTAAGTCGTGATTGGTGTAAATTATGCATCTGATTGGTTGGGGAGTGGCAGAGCTTTCTGGACCAATCACAGAGCAGAGTAAAGCAAAGCAATGCATTCTCGGATTATTTTCAACACTCGATTAAAAAGTTCTCTAAAAAATTAGCAGTTCACAACACTCGGACCACCTTAGAAGTATAATCAGTAACATTCATTTCTTATGGTTCGCCTCAAACTGAAGGCAGACCACCGGCCAAAACTGAACAAGGTGTGTCGAGAACCCCACTTGCATTTAATCCCCCAGTCAAACCAACATTTTCTCCATTGGTAGAAGACACGGGCTTCTATGTCAAGGAGTCGTAAGTTAGATGAAAAATCCACGCAAGTATCCTTGTAGGAAGGACGACTGGCATCATACGAAACGCTGACTGGAAGACTTCCGTGTATCAAGTGTCCTTCCCCGTCCACCCCGGCCTTTATAATCAATACGGCTACAGATCCATGCAAAGAAGTTGTTACTGATGCGGAGGGTGTGACCTAAAATGACAATTAATAAACTTGTAAGAGCTTATTTTTTTCTATTTCTTTTATCTATTTGTATGATTTCTTGAACTCTTTTATCCCTAATTCGTCTTGTTCATCATCGAGGTCATTGCTGACAGAAATAATGGTTTGTTATTCCACTAGTGGGCCATTTTATAGGGCAACGAAACGAGAAAAAACACCACATTGTTACGCTGTAGAAAACAGCGTAACAATGTCAGGACATTGACAGAGACAGTGACACTCACAAGACATTCAAAATAAAGTGAAAAGTACTGAATACTAACATTGAAAGAAAAAGATGGCAGTCAGTGACAAAGTCAAGGGTAGTGGCAGTTGAAGGCAAGCGTGTATAAAAATAGAGACAGTTGATTGCTGTTGTGTGATAGTAACAGTGACAAAATGAGATATATCTACTAACCGTTACGCCTAACCAGGATGGTGATGGTGTGTCTCGGTTCACTGCGATACTAGCTTTTGCCCCATGAAAATATTCCACATCTAGGGTGACCACCCCAAGTATTGAAAGACTAAAGCCCTGTAGAAAAGGAAACAAAACATTCAATTTGCGTTTTCGCAAACAATAGGGCTACCTGAAAATGAATACAATTTTTTTTATGCTGTGTTATACTTAACAGACAAATTCCGTGTGCTGTACGTCTGTTCTGTGATGGATCAGAGATGACGTCGAAATGTGGTAAGGACCTAGTAGAAGAGGCGCAGTCGAGTGTGTCACTGATGATCTTACCACATTTTGACGTCCTCTGTGGTCTGTTACTGTAAAAACCCACAGCAACATGGAATCTGTGTTGTTTTATATAAGTTAAACTTATTAATAAAACACGTAAAAAAGGCACACAAGCCACTTGTACGATTTACTTTCTTCCATGGTAGTGGTTTCATCGACCTTGTTTTTCGTAAACTGTCAGTTAGCTTCCTAGAAAAACTTGCCGAAATGGAGGCCCGATCTAAGTGCAATATTTTAATTCAAACACTTACAACTTTGATGCCTCCGTATATAGTTTTTTTTGCTGTGTTGGTGGTATCAATGGAGTATCGGAGAAGTTTCACTCTTGACCTGGATCCCAACTGCAGAGTTAAATCCCACTCAATCTCGTCAAGCTTCACATTGAAGAACTTTTTGATTGAATCAATGTGAATGGCGGTTTCCATTTTCAAATTTGTGCCAATAATTTTTTCGTCAAACAGTGTGAACCTTATCTTTCGAGGAGCATCGAGAATTTGTGGGCTCTGTCTGCGGCTTCGGTGTCTTGAGTCGTGAGATGCTGTTGTCAAGTTTGTCTCTCGCTCATCTTCGCCAGCGGAAGTGATGTTCAATGCATTTGAATCAGCCGAAGGCTCGTTCAGAGCCTCCATTTTAGCGTTTTTTACCCACAATTTTTGGTCAGATATTGGTGCAAAGAGTTTTACGAAATTACGAACATTAATATCGGTTAGTTCATTGTCTTCAAGATAGCTTCTCCGAGATCTCTCATCATCAAGAAGAGTAACCTTGCTCGTGAAAGAAACCTTCATCGTGCTGACTTTGGATCCTTTCTTAAACTGAACTGGCTCTCCGAAATTTAGTTGTTCGGTTAAGTGGACCTCACCTTTTGTAACCACGCCGTTACTCTTATTAAGAACGGATGAATCAGCATATGACATGTCCAAGTCGATATCAGATGTCATATTGGTGACATCCGACCGATTGAATTTGTTTTTAATAAAAAGGTCGTCATTTTCTGATGTGTTTGCTTCTCTGTGCATCTTCACAATACCGGGAAACATGGAAGATTTTTCAGGTTTTGGCTCGGAATTTGGGTCCGGTTTCTCTCCATTTACACGTTCGTAGAGGTTGCGCTCAACAGTTGGGAGAAGCTGTGTAAGTATGGCTCGGGCATAACGAGTCAACTCTACGTCGGACTCTGGGTTTCCGTATAATTCAAAGGACTCGTCTGCTTTGGTGAATGTTGACGTTTTCTTTTTCTCAGACCTGTTGAAAAAACAGACAGACTCAGTGAAAACATCCCAATTTGCAACTAGCATGATACCGAAGAAGTGACATTTCAGGCTTCTAATCAATTTTCAGACGAGTTAAAATTATGGGATATAAATATGACCAACGAAAAAGTAAAATGAAGGGATGGGGAATGGGTAACTTCATGTTATATAAGAGCATGGCTACTTATCCTGCTAATTCCAGAGGACTCAAAAGCCAATTGTTGATAGAAATTGAAAACAAAGTTTGTAGCATTAGAAGGAGTTCTTGAGAAAATTTCGTCCACCGTTATCTAATTGAGCTGAAACTTACCTGAGATCTCTAGGTGAAAATCAAGAACTGATATCTGAATCTTAAATGATATTGGTTACGATTTATAAAAGGCTTAGAAAAAGGGAATCAGAAAAGAATGCTTATTTTAGACAAAGCGTTCGATATTGCAATACGACGCGCCGTCGGTCAGAATGTGAAGTTGATTTCTTTATAAAACAATTGTGGTGAATGTTTTTATGAATATAACTTCTTCATCTAATGAGAAATCATGCTGCTCTCTATATGATTGTCTTCTTTTTATTTTTAAACTCTCCAGGGTCACCTAGCTTACCTGCCCCGAGCAAGTCAAGTGATTTAGTCCAGAAACGAAATTAAACAAAACTGAAAGTCAAATATGATATTTATGCAAAAAGCATTATCCAGTGGACTTATCATGCCTAATTACTCTTTTGGTAAGATAAACTTTTTCCGAGTCAAGGTCAAGTTTTCAGGACTATATGTTATTACTTACCTTGAAGTGCGCTCAACCCTAACCAGAAAATATAACGATCTTCCTTGGGTCACGTTACCGATTTTTTCCAAGTTTTCTCCTTCAGTATTAATGCTGATAATCTTAAAAACGAACCAATACTCTTCTGAAGTCTTGTTTATGACTTGAAGGGCAACAATGGTATTTAGTGTCCCTGAAAAATGATTAAATGTGCTATTATAAAATCTTGAAATAAATCAGACTAAATTGAAGTATAAAAAGAATTGGCCAGAACGCAATATTCGTTAAGTTTAAATCGACAATGATTGACTGCTTGTCTGACAAATTGAAGGAAATAAGATAATGTTCAGCTCGATAAATATTCAACTTCAATATCATAACTCCAAATCTTTTTATTGTTTAAAGGATTTCGATCTTGCATGGTGGGCAAGCGCATGAAAAAAGGTGGATTTAAACCTTCAATGTTAACATCTTGATAGTGAGTGTTTTTTGCTAGCACTTTTTGAAGTGTAACTTTTTGAAGTGTATCTTAGGATCCAGTCACTAGTTAAATTATTGCCCGAGGACTTTTGGAGAGCTGGAAGATCGGGGGTGAATCGCCAACAGAGTAGAAAGGGGAGGGAGGGGGGAAGCTGTAGAAAATTGACTGCCAGTTAACTATCAACGAGGGAGGGAATCATAAGAATATTGGAGAGCCTGTGGGAAGGGGGGGAGGGGGAGGGGTTCAGGTGAACGTTATCGTCAGACAACCAAAATATCCCTAAAATTTGAAGATGAGCGCGAAAATGCCGTTATGAATTCAGAACCTGGCTAATTGTTTAAGGTATACTGGATGTAGCGTTCTAACGATTAACTGAATGTCAAAAAAAAAATGAAGTCCAAACATTTGAACGAAGTAGGCACCTAAACACCATTATAATTCACTGAACCATTCATATGCAAAACAATTGAAAATATATCCACGGGCGGCCCAAGCTCCAGTTGTGAGATTTGCATACTAAGCAGTCCGATAACAAGCGATGCACTGTGGAAGTAAGGTGAGGTATTTTTATTGAGAATTTGACTTATTTTTTATTCCTTAGAGCGGTTGTAAATATTCCCATACAGACTCTTACAATTTCGCCATAACTCTTGTTTCGCAAGATGATCATCTCTTGGGCCGTAACCCTAACCCTAACCCGTCTGTGGTGTAACTGGCGTTCGTTACTGCAAAGATCGCTTTAGATAGCCATTTTTAAAATGCGTTCTGGTCCAATATCATCTTAAACAGATAATTTTAACTCAAAAACATGGGCTTCAAGACCAAAAAGGTTATTTTAAAGCAGTAAATCGTCTTGATCACTTAGCGATGAAGCGGAGCAACATAATGTTTAATTAATAGCGACATTAAATACCTCTCTGAAGCTCTCCGCTCCGTACTTCAAGGACTTGCTCAACTTGATACAACAGAGTTTCACCTGGTTCCAAGTTGACTTCCACTAAGCGCTCAGTAAATTGCTCCTTCCGAGTCAACAACGTTGCTGCGAGTATAGCTCCGCCAACCACAAGTGCTATAACCGCAAAGATGGCGGTAGTCCGCATAATGGTTCGTTTTCTTGAGGCAGGCTTCCCTCCTTCAGAATCATCTCCAGCATTATCGTTCACTTGAGTTACCTTGTCCTTGCGTTGTTCCTTTTTCTCTGGAAAACCATCCATGATCGAGCTTGAACCTTCGTCCTTTCTGGAGGTTCAGTGTGTTGCATGACTTCTTTTGAATTATTCTTGTTCATCCGGTATGGCTTAATCTTTTGTATTTTCGCTGAGACTGACAGTGCGATATTTTTAGGTTTAGTGCGGGAAATTTCTTCCTTTCCTCTTCCTCCTAAATGGAGCTGAAGCAAAGAGAGCGTACGTGACGTAGAGAAGCGAGCACGGAAACGAATACACATGAACGGTTACATACCGTTTCATTCTCCATTCCGCGAGAATCTGTCTGTAATGAAATGGATATCGGTCGCAAGCTTTTGTAACAACCAGGTTTCTTTTAAACACTATATCACGAGAATCGGGGAACTTTTATTTTACGACCGTCATTGAAAAAATTTATAAGATAGTCTTACGATGAATCAGTTTATCATTCCTAAATCAAATTTAAAGCGTCTGCACGGTCTGCACTTTGCGTTTTAGCAAGTTACTTCTTTATGTTTCGGTTGGTTGACTTCAAGCAGTTTGACAGAATGCGGAAACATTCTATGAGTTCCTCCGGCACTCTGCAAGCTTCCTCAGCTACTCTCAGCAGGCTATAGATGAGAGTAAACTGCACCATTTGCTGAAGCCAACGAAAAAACTTGAACACGTAGTCGCGTAGACTAAAATTTCGACACCAAATTTCAGTTGTAACTCAATGATCAAGTATAGTTGCTTTGTTTCCGTGCTTGCTGATCTACACGCCGCCAATTTACCGCCATTTCAGAGGCTTTCAACTTTGATTTATGAATGATAAACTGACTACCTTATAAAGTTTTGCAATGACAATCATAGAAGAAAAGGTCCACGATTCTCGTGATATAATTGAAAAAGAAACCTGGTTGTTATAAAAGCTTGTGAACGATATCAAGTTCACAACAAACTAATTTTCCTGCGGTATGTAACCACTCTGTGCATTTGCTTCTATACTCGCTGAACAACGTCGCGTTGGCTCTCTTTGCTTCGGTTCCTTTAGGAGCAAGGGGAAGTAAAGAGATTTCCTGCACTAAACAAAGTGACGCACAGTTAAAATAAGACGGGGGACATTTTACAAAGACGTTTTAATCCCCTTTTATAGAAAAGGAAAGATATAATCATTCTCAGTTTCAATAATTTTCATTCCTATTATTTTGAAGGAGTGTACAGTGACTTAACCTAAACTTCATGATCATGATCTTCCACAGTAAAAGTTTCAGTTCAGTGTCCATCTCCTCTTTGAGTTCTGTTTGTCCTCCTCCTGAATTTCATCTTGCTCATACAAAGGTGTTACTTGAACTTCAGGTCTTGGATTTCCTTCCAAAAATTGTTTTCGTCTGTTTCCTTCAGTACAAAGGGAATTTGTCCTGCGTGAACTATGCGACTGAGGGAAAGTTTCTATTTGGGGCTTCCTGTGAAATATCTGTGAGGAGATATTTGGGATTTATAAAAACAAAACAATAAAAAATCTAGACAATCCAAAACAGTTACAAAGTATGATATGATATTATTACACATCATGTTACATATGTGAGATTTTCAGTTAACTTTGAGATACAAGTATATACAACATGGATAGGTAGAGGCATAGGTTTATGAAATTCCATGACAAATGTAAAATTTCCCTGACCAATTTTATAATTTCACAAACTAGCTCTAGTGATGACCTCCAACCAACAACCATCCTTTCCACCAAATACTTTATTAATATACTTTCAGTAAGTTACATGCAGATAGGGAAATAAATTGATAGTTCCTTGACACAACATGGAAAAGGGATTGATTTTGTTGGAAACTTAACGCTTCCATGTCGTTAATTTTCACGAAACATTATTTGGAAATCATTCAAAACATGTCAAAGCCGCACGAAAATAAATGAAACCGACCCGGAGATAAATCAAATCCTAGGGAAAGAATAGAATTGGACACTGCACATGCAAATATCAACTTATCAGGCCGTGCAAAAATAGAACGCGATCGCCCCAGGTCATCGGTTTTGTCTTTGAAGCAGCAGATTTGTTATTGCGCGGTTAATCACGACAATAGAATTAGCTTACTTACTTATTACTGATTTGCAAATGAATAGTTCAGTGAGTTACATCGGTGTTTAGGCGCTTACATCATTCAAATGTTTGCAGTTCGTAATTTTTTAAATTAGTTAGAACGCCACACTCAGTAAACCTTTAACTATTAGCCTGGTTCTGAATTCATAGTGGTATTTTCTATAGCAACCCTTCCTTCCCTTTCTACATTGTTGGCGACTAATCTCCCCCCCCCCCGTTCCTCCTGAATAATGTTTAATAATGTTTTAGTTGTAACTCAAAAAGGGTCATACAATACACAACCTTCAGAAAGGACGAAGCTTCAACCTCGATGGTTTTCTAGAGAAAAAGTCGCAACATAAGTTGCGCTACTATGATACCCCTCTTCATCGCTAAGTGATGGAGACGATATACTGCTTTAAAATTACCTTTCTGGTCTTGAAGGTCAGTTTTTCGAGTAAAAGCTATCTGTTTAAGATGACATTAGGCCAGAATGCATTTTAAAAAATGCACATTTAATCATTTTTCAGGGAAATTAAGTGCCATCGTTGCACTTCAAGTAATAAAAGAGACTTCAGAAGAGTATTGCTTCGTTTTCAAGATAATGCTGAAGGAGAAAACTTCGAGAAACTCGGTAAAGTGACCCGAGGAAGATCGTTAGATTTTCTCGTCAGGGTTAAGCTCTTCAAGGTAAGTAATAACATAGTCCTAAAAACTTGACGTTGTCTCGGCAGAATTTCTCTTGAACGTCAGGTCGGAATTGTCATAGAGTAGTTAGGCATGATAAGTCCGCCTGATAGTGTTTTTTCCATAAATATCATAGTCGACTTTCACTTTTTTTAATTTGGTTTTTCTTTGTTGTATGCAACTTTTGTTGGGCTAAATTACTTGACTTGCTCGGGACAGGTAAGCTGGGTGACCCTAGAGAGCATAAAATAAAAAGAAGACAATCGTATAGAGAGCAACTTGATTTGTCATCAGATGAAGAAGTTATATTCAGAAAAAAACATTCGCTACATTAATTTAGAAAGGAATCAACTTCACACTCTGACCGAGGGTGGGTCGTATTGCAATATCAAATGCTTTGCCTAAAATAAGCAGTCTCTTTTTCTGATTCCTTTTTTTGTAAAAGCCTTCTATACATCGTAACCAACATCATTTTAGATTTGGATATCAGTTCTTAATTTTCACGTAGAGATCTCGGGTAAGTTTCAGCTCAATTAGAGAACAGTAGACGAAATTTCTCAAGAACTCCTTCCAATGCTGCAATCTTTGTTTCTAATTTCCATCAACAGTTGGCTTTTGAGTCCTCTGGAGTTAGCTGGATAAGTAGCTATACTCTTATATAATATGAAGTTCCCAATTTCCTATCTCTTCCCTTTACTTTTTTTGTTGGCCATATTTATATTCCATAATTTTTAACTCGTCTGAAAATTGATTAGGAACCTGAAATGGACCTTCTTGAACACGTTTTAAAGCTAATTGCTCATTGGAATGTTTTTCCTGCGTCTGACTGTTTTTTCAACAGGTCTGATGTAAAGAAAACGGCAAAATTTACCAATGCAGACGAGTCCTTTGAATTATACGGAAACCGAGAGTCCGACGAGGAGTTAACTCGTTATGCCCGAGCCATACTTACACAGCTTCTCCCAACTGTTGAGCGCAACCTTTACGAACGTGTAGACGGAGCGAAACCAGACCCAAATTCCGAGCCAAAACCTGAAAAATCTTCCATGTTTCCTGGTATTGTGAAAATGCACGGAATAGCAAACAGTGGAAAATGACAAACTTTTGATCAGAAACAGATTCAATCGGTCGGATATCAGCAATATGACATCCGACATTGACTTGGACATGTCATATGCTGATTCGTCGGTTCGTGATAAGAGCAATGGCGTGGTAACTAAAGGTGAGGTCCATTTAACTAAACAACTAAATTTCGGAGAACCAGTTCAGTTTAAAAGAGGATCCACAGCCAACATGATGAAAGTTTCTTTCACGAGTAAGGTTACTATTCTTGATGATGAGAAGTCTCGGAAAAGCTGTCTTGAAGACAATGAACTGGCAGATGTTGATGTTCGTGATTTCGTAAACTCTTTGAGCCAAAATCTGACCAAACATTCTGGGTAAAACTCCCTGAGAGGGAGGGTCTGGCGTTTTCCGCCACAGAAGAATTCAAAATGTGGTAAGATCATCAATGACACACTCGACTGCGCCACTTTTAGGTTTTCACCACATTTTGACGTCATCTCTAATCTATTACAGAACAGACGCACAGCATATGGAATCGATCTGTTAAGTATACCACAGCATAGATTAAAAATTTGTACTCATATTCAGGTAACCCCATTGTTTGTGAAAGTTAATTTAACGCAATTTACTGTTTTGTCTCCTTTTCTACAGGGCTGTAGTATTCCGATACTTTGGATGGTCACCTTAGATCTGGTATTTCTTCTTAGGACACCAGTAAGTATCGCGGTGAATCTAGGCACAACATCACCATCCCGGTTAAGTGTAACGATGAGAAGATATATCTAATTCTGTCACTGTTAGTGTCACTTCATTACAACCATCTGTCTCTGATTCTATCACTGTTGAACTCGCTTGTCCGCAACTGCCAGTGTCCCCTGACTCTGTCTATGACTGTCATTTTTACTGTCATTGTCAGTAATATATAGATCACTTTTCACTGTATTCTGAATGTCCCTGTGAGTGTCACTGACTGTTACTGTCTCTATCACTGTCCTTGTCTCTACTAACACATCTAATGTAAGCAATGATTGAAATATCTAGGCGTACTGTGTGTTTAACCATCGAATAAGAAATTTAATATTCGAATATCGAACGATTTTGTTGTTTTAGCCTCAATTTTGTGGTCAGGGTATTCAAATTTATCCTGCATTTCTGTTTATCAGTATCTGGCGTAAACAAATGACTTTTAAGGAAATATAA